CTTTTATTGTATTCGTATTTTTGATGAATTATCGTAAAGCATGGGGTCCTGCTCCTACGATGCCCGTCGCACGACGAACGATAGCTCAGTGAGGATTCATTGGGGTCGCCGAGGACTTATTTGTATGAATTTAAATTAACAACTCTAAGGTAATTCCCTTTCAGCTTCTGTCTCTTCGAACGAAATGAAAGGTACTTCAGCATCAATCTATTAAGGGAATCATCAAAAACGAGTTTTACATAGGATTTTGGACTGTTTGTGATTTATATTTTCCAATCTAACTCGACTTGCAGCAGTTTGATATTGCAGTTAGATGCTATATTACATGTACTTCTATATGGTTGCATATATATTAATGCGGATCCTATCATAGTGTCTGAACTTGAAGTTTTTTTCTGCCTACCAGTCATTATTTTCACAAAGTGTGTGTTGACCCTTGGCTTCTCGAGCAGCGCAGTTGTCCAATGTGCAAGTTAGACATACTTCATGCCTATGGGCTGCGGCCAGATCTCGGACCATCATTCTCAGCGCCCCTTAGTAGCACAAGCAACAATTTGGCGTCCTCGAATCTTCTTTCCGGCTCCCCGCCAGATATTCTTGTCTCCACAACCTCGCCTGACAGCATAGGAGTCAGGCGACTTATTTTGTCTCCTAATGCTCTCGCTAGCCAATCATGTGCTGCCGTCACCAATGCAAATGACTGTAGCCCTGGAGGGGGAAGTAACGCCAGTTCAACTACATTAACTACTGGCGCTGATAACCACACAGTTGTCAGTGGTCAAGTTCCTGCAACTGGCTCGATCACTTGTGTCAATCCCCTTTTCGGAATCCAGGGCCTCGAAATGTACCACTGCCACTCAGTATCCTACCACCATCGACACAGAGCCTATCAGCATCAACACCTTCACCACCATTATCATGGCACCCACCATTCCAGGAGTGGTTTATTATCCTTGCCTCATCCGGCTATATCTGATCCACTTAATGAACAAAACTCTTGCACCATTGACCCATCTGGAATGTCTCTAGCTATTTCAGCTGCGGCCACAAATGTAAGTGCTGGCTCCAATTCCACTACACTTTCTGGCGGACCCGGTCTATTTGTCGAATGTCCTCGCTGTACAAAGCCTCCTCCCAGTCCTTGCATCTGCTCCTGTCCTTGCTTTCCCGACGGGCCAACCTCATCGGCATCAGTAATATCCCCGTCCTTAACGGAATTGGCCCTGCATCAGCGATACCTGCCTTCCAGCTCCAGCAACTGCGGGGGCAGGTGCTGCGAAATCGCGGTTGATGATTCCAGCCCAAGTTTTACTCAACCAGCAACGCAGCAGCGGTCAGTTACTAGCCCGTACTCGGTGTGTCGACGGCTACCCGTTTGCTGTCACTGCTCCTCAAACCAGTCACTCGAGGCATCTGTTTCTGACCCGCACGGTAGGGCCAGCAATGGCCTCGGCTTGACAACCGATGCCGGGGCCTGGCCAATGCTGACACACCGACCAAGCCGAAAGAATTTAAACCAGATTACTGGGCTGGGTTGTGGTATCGATGAGATTAAAATGGCGGAAAGAATTAAAATAGCTGAGGTTGAGGATGAGAAAAAAGGAAATGAAAGCTTTACTTCAACAGAACTAGAGGATTCAGATGCAAAGGTGATGGAAACGAAAGATGAAGTAGTAGGAGAGAAACACAAGAGAGTGATTGTCCGACGAGGATGGCATGATGGCTGCTCTACTAAGTTAAAGGATTGCCTCTTGCGTCAGCCGAATTGCCGGCCCCCGGCTTCCGTTCCTCTAACGGACACAGAATTGCATGTACGTATGCCGCATATAGTTATAACTAATTATACGGGCCATGAATAGAATAACTTACTTTCTATTACATATGGAGGGAAGTCTTCCCTCACTTTAAATTTATATTTCACCAAATTCGTGATTTTGTATATTAGGTTGTTTTTTTCACTCCTTTATTTTCTTATAAGACATTCTAATCATGTCGTTTGCCAGCATAAATACAAGCGAATAAAGCTGGTGCTTGCGCATCAATATATGAATATTGATTTCATAATAATCACAGTATAGTAGCTTCTTTCAACTGCCTCAGGCCATGGCTCTTCTCCCTTCTATCTTGGGCATATATAATAATCACAAATAATGATTGCCTTATTACATACATTCGTTTCACTTTTACAGTCTGTTATCATTTACTGGCCTTGATCTTTTGTTTCGTTGTGAACGTGCAAAAATCCCCGAAACGTTGGTTCTTCAACCAAAATTACTTATGCGCCATATTTACCAAGTTTTTGCAAATGTCTGGTCTTTTGTGCATTCTTTTAAATTACTCTTTATTAATTAGATTGGCATTGCTTTGATAAAGGTAATCTTTTCTCCGAAAAATTTCAACATCGGACATGTCCTTTATTTCGCAATCTCTGCCTGGATCTCAATTTTAAGAGTTGATCTTCACAAATGATTGTTGACCATTACTAAAATTTAGTAATTGTGTCATATTCAAGCAGACGTAAGGCTGCAAAAGTAGTTACCTTTTGGTTCTCTATTTACATCTTTCGAACGTCCAAGTGGAAGACTCGTTATGCTTCCCTCACGAATCCATGCCTTTTGGTCTGCTTTGGTGAAATTCTATGTATAACGCCAGTGTTAACTCAAGTTCAAATTTTACGTATTTAATTTTACTCCAATTTCGCTCAAGAATTTGCCGCTAAATGTGGGCTTAGTGAAGCGTAATCATCTCCGCCACCAGTGCCAGGTGCCGTTTGCAGGACTCCAGATCTACATTTTGCCCCTCTTTCTCCTACTCTGCTTGCTAATTGGACACTGCCAAACATCAAAATCATTGTCTGGCTCCCTAAGAGCCTTCAATTCCCGCCCCGATTACGCCATATTCGAGGATTTAGAGCTGATGATGTCCATGCCAGTGCCTGGGAATCTTCCTATCTTAAGGCTTCGAACCCATGACTCGATTATCCTCTTCCTCATCCCCAGCTACATTATGTCTCATTCTTTGGGGACCTGTGTCCCGCTTAAGTCATAACTGCTGGTGTCAAAATGCACCGCTTTCCTTCATCCCCTCCTGAATCGCGAAAAGCCTACTCATCTAGTCTTTCAAGTTGAAAATCCCGTCTATGCCTAGGGTACTATGATGTTGTTCATGTGTGTGCTGGCTGGTATACTCTGTGGTCAATTATGTCACCAGTCGCCTCCCCTTAGAGCGCATACACGAAAAATGCTCTCGAGCACACAGACACGCACATTAATGACTTATATCTGGCCCAACTATACTTTTAGCCTTTAATTTCATATCCTACGTCCTATAGGTAGATCTCCCGGGTAAGTTTTTTTGCGGATTCTAGATTTGACTCCTCTGACTGCAATCGCCTTTTCTTGACTTCCCTTTGTCTCTAATGAGCCGCTCCTTGGTGATGTTTTCCTGTTGTTGAACAGTTACTCCGGGTCCAGATTTCAGATATTCAGACAGTGATTTTGATGCTTGGCGGCGACCAATTGACAAGCGGGATGCAAACGGCGCCTGATACCGTTGGCTTAGAGGATTACAACTCACTTAAGCGACATTGGAGGAAACTAGAGCACATAATTATGTGAATAGATAGATGGGCCATATGAAGTGGGATTGAGGGAAAGAGATGCAAAGGTAGAACAAAAAATAGGGGCTAGGAGTGATGCGACAGCGGTTGAACAGAGAATTGATCAAGAGGATTGCCTTCACTTGTCACTTTTATATGCTGTAACTCTGTACTTAAGATGTCGGTGAAAGGTTTGAGAATGTATCAAGTCAATCGTTCGATGCTGGACCTCATGAATACTATGGCAGAAGGCGCAGGACTAGGTACGTTCTACAGGATCTCCCTGAGGTTTCAACTAATTTTTGAAATCGCGGTCGATCCAATACTACAAAGCTAAAGAAGACTGCTACCAAACAGAAGATCACACCATCTTGACCTTCATCTTTACGAGGATTCTTTTTCCTTGTTAATAAACTAGGTTCTTAACTAAGTTAAGCTATGCAAATAGAATAGACTTTAATTTATTTATGGCTAGCATTAATCAAATAATCCTTGATAGAAAACTCTTAAAAAAGTGCTTTTTAGATTTTTTTAGATCTATTCATTCTATTTTGTTTAAGGTAGTATAATTTTCCCACTAATATAAGTCGAGTTGACCTTTCCATTAAATTTCACATAGCCTTGCTTTCCCAAAAGTTGTTCTCATCCAGGGTGGATTGCAGTTTCGACCTCCCGTAGGTATTATCAGAATCCTAAGCGGGAGTCGAACGGTGACAATGTAGAATGTGAGCTTGACACGTTAACCACTCGGCCACATTGCCACAAGTACCCTTGGGTCACAGGGCAGATGTGAATTTCTAGGAGGACCAGGCCTTTTCTTATATCAAATTCTTTGGTAGAGTTGTCGATGAAGCAAACGTATTTTTGCTATAACAATCAACTACATTACTTATTTTTCGTATATAAGTAGAGTCTCGAGACTACCAGTAAATCAGTTACTTATATACGAAGAATAAGTAATGTAAAGTAAAAGACCGAGATGGTGTGGCCTTTTTTGTGGTCGCAGTCTCCTTCCGTTGTATAGAAATTGTTTGACCTTGTTTTCGCAACTTGGTCATATTGGTAGGAAGACTAATAGGAAAGCACCTTGTCCTGAGTCCATTGTATGCAAAAATATATTCAAAGTCGGACCGTGGACGCGGTATATTCCCAGACGTTTCTCCGACATCGTAGTCGGCATCGTCAGTGAGTTTTACCAGTCGTAGCACGATATTACAACTAGTCAAAGAGACAAGTGAAGCCGATCCTTTGACCAAACCTGTGCTGAACGGTTATGGTATCTCCTATTCTGCTCTGGCCTATTCACATTTCCTATATCCTCCAATCACGCCTCTCTCTGGTTCACATATTTCACTCTACCCCTGCCACCCCATCTGTGCCATCCGAGGCGTTGTTGACCCTACCCTGCGTCTGGGTGACTAATTTGAGGCTAAAGCCTCTGAGTAAATCTTATGGTCAGGCCCTTGTCACATGGACCACGTCTCTTGTAAAACCTACTGTCAACCCACTAGCTCTCATTG